CTTCACGGCCTGTTACAGGGATCGCTTTACGTAACCTCACCGCCATCTGTGAGCCGATTGTCTAGAAAATGTGGGAGCCTCAACATCTCACAACCTTATGGGCCTCCACGGCCCGTTACAGGGATAGCTTTACCTTTTTATTTTTTGTCGTTTATTCAAAAATCAATCCAAGTCTGGGACGCTTTGTGACATATCATAACAAGCTTATTTTTACGGTGAGTTGCTGGCCCCACGCCCAACCCCCAAGCTGGAGGACCACATCTTGTCGACTGTCCACGACTGCTTATTCAATATATTGGCAGCTACCCTACACATTTGGAGGCCTTCTCCTCCATCCACAACCTGGGGCACGTCGTGCAGTGATGAGAGTTCTTACCTGACAGGAAACGCCGTGTCTCAGTAATGAAGGGAAACAGGTTAATGTCCTTTGGGGAAGTTATCACTGCTCATTATGTGAAAGATATAACCTTTAGGCAATATGCAGAGCTTCTTGTTATTAAAGCAAGTGGTACATATAGTAACCATTGTGCTCTGAGGGGTAAATGTAAATATTTTACTATATATCGAATAGTTCTATTGAGGAAATTCCTTCCTGAGAAGCTGCCAATCGGTCATCTGATCAAGTGATTCGCTGAATTCTACGGTACCCGGTTGTTTATTACCGTGTTCACAGGAGTCAGCTGTTGAAATGTGCGGTAAGTGTGCTGACTCTGGACCACACCATTACATTTCATTACACCACCCTCTATTTGGGCTGGAGACCGAGGGGTTGGAGTTCGAGTCCCGGTAGGGTCAAGAATTTTCTCTTGTCAACAGCATTCAGACTGGCTCTGGGGCCCACCCAGCCTCCTATCTAATAGGTCCGGGGGCTCTTTTCCCGGGGTAAAGGGGCAGGGGTGTGAAGATGACCACTTACTCCAGCTAGTGCCAAGGCCAAGAAAATGTGGATCTATACATGACTCCCCATACGCCATCATGGCATAGTGCTTAATTAGTTAAGCACAGGGGACAACTTTACCGTACTCCATTTTAATATTGTCCTACCATCCACAGCCTGGATAACTCACTCTATACACAGACTACGGTACGAGCTGGACATCCGAGGATTCGGGATTCCATTCCCAGCAAGGACAAGAGAGCCTTTTCAGCGCAGCGCCTAGACCTGCTCTGTGTTCCTTCGGGCAGTATATACAGTGGGTGCCGTGGACTCTTTCAGCATGCTAAACCGGCCACGGCGTGAAGCTGGTTTTTCACATCCATCTAGTAGGCTGTTGTGGTAAAAAATGAGTATATATAAACCCCCACTGCCCCATACGTCTCATGGCATGTTGCTTAATTAAGTACAGAAACGAAGTTTCCCTGTGCTTAACTGATTAAGCACTACGCCATGTAGACGTATGGAGGAGTGGATGTAAGGTCCACGTATTCTTGACCTCGGTACCAGTTGGATGTGATTTGTCAGCCTTACGCCTCGGCCGCTTTATCCCCGGGGAAAGGGCCACCACCCATAGTGGTCATTGGGTAGAAGGTTGGATGGCCCTCAGAGCCGGTCTGGACGACTTAGAGTGGAGAAAAATTTTGCTTCTACTGGGACTCGAACTCTCCGCCTTCCAGCCGGCAGCCAGTCGCTATACCGACTACACCACCCTGTCTCGCAAACACAGAGACAGCTTTTGCTTTACTTTTTAACTTACAGATTTCTTCAGTTCAGTTTTTCCTGACTAAATTTTGGTTCTTCCGAAATGCTGGTATGTACATACTATAAAGTAGACAGCATCGCATTTAGGTGACCCGAAATCTTTAGCGTTCGCCATTGTGGATACTTCAGTTCTGATATGCAACTGTAATTGAGGCTGTGAGAGAATTTGAAATTCGGACCACAAAAATTCCTGGAAACACTAAATGTATAATTCTCTTCTTACCCGAGGAAGCTCGGGAAATTACAGACAGATACAGGATCGTAATTGATTTACAGAGCAGTGAATAGATTAAATTAAGGTTGCTGAATTCCTCTGATCCCGGACGCACCAACTGTGCCACAGATACATCCCCTTCTGCTTACACCGATGTATCGAAGTAGCTGCATTTGTGAGCAGACTGTTTAGAAGACTGAAACATTTCAAATCAGAATTGACATAAAGTGTCAGGTACGAGGGTTTATGAATTGAATCATTCTTGTTTATGGTATAAAAACTGCACCAGATATCATATTAATAAAAAGTACCTTGCACCTGAATTGAGCAGGAATAGCTCAGTCGGTATAGCGACTGGCTACGGGCTGGATGACCGATGGGTCGGAGTTGGAGTCCCGGTAGGATCAAGAATTTTCTCTTCTCCATGTCGTCCAGACCGGTCAGGAGCCCATTCACCTCATATACTCGTACAATGGGTTCCGGGGGCTCTTTCCTTTGGGGTAAAGCGGCCGCAGCGTGAAGCTGAACACTCATTTTAAAATAGTGTCGATGTTAAGAATATGTGGATCTAAACATCCACTCCCCCATACGCCTACATGGCATAATGCTTAATTAGTTAAGCACAGCACCTTTAACTTGCAACTGAATAAGTTAACCAACTCCATAGAAAGGAGGCCTTCTCTGAAACTAGTAGTCGTTCAGGTGGTCAAGAAATCCTCTGCCTTTTATGAATCTCGAAGCGTTGCAAGAACTAGACTCTGGCATAAGCTAGGTGAATCCATCTACATTCTCGCGCCATATTGTAATGGCGGAACCGCTGTACCGCAATCAGTTGAGGCACTGTGCTACATGCCGGAAGGTCGCGAATTCGAGTCCCGATGAGGTCATTGGATTTCTCAGTTGACCTAATCCTTCCAGGCACACTATGGACCTGGGGTCGACCCAGCCTCTAACATAAATGAGTACCAGTAGTCTTCTTGGGTGTAAAGGGCAGCCGGCGTGTAAGGCTGACCTCAGCGCCATCTGTGAGCCGATTGTCTAGAAAATGTGGGAGCCTCGACGTCTCACAACCCTATGGGCCTTCACGGCCTGTTACAGCGATGGTTTTACTTAACCTCACCGCCATCTGTAAGCCAATTGTCTAGAAAATTTGGGAGCCTCAACGTCTCACGACTCTGTGGGCCTCCACGGCCTGTTATAGGGATAGTTTTACTTTTTACTAGTATACCATGAAGGTTATAGTAGTATGGGGGCAAACAAATTGTGTTTATTTTTTGTCACTACCTTGCAAAATCGCGCTCAGAATTTACGTGCATCTTTCATATGCATTGTGTATATTCCGTAGACCTACTTATGAAAATTACCAAAGCCCTTAACATTAACTTATGTGGGTATGGCGGTGTGTCCGCTCTGTTTGCCATACCTGGTGCCAGCAAGTGTCCGAATGGCGTGGAAGACGAGTGTTGCATGAAGAGAACAAGCCACAGCCCAAAGGACAGCAAGCGGGGCCGCCACACGTAAAGACGGACCCAGAAACCGGAGTGCAGAGCTAGTTCTACACGTGGAAGGCTGGTAGCCGCTGAACCCCCTGCTTGTATGGATGCTTGCAGCTGTGACAATACCATTCTTATTGAAGATATAGCCCCTATATAGTCCGTGGAAAGTGAACTGAAGTTTCGAAGGAAAGTGTCGCTTCCGTCTTCAGGATTGGAAAATTAACCAAGCAAATCGGCATGAACTAGGTGGCAAGCAGAATTTGACTTGTATGAATGAATGAATGTATAAGGGGTGGGCCTTCTCGGCACTTGCACCGCGACCTACAGTGGTCTATTGTGCTTAGACTTTGACTTACTCTGTCAAATATGACGACAGACGCATGTTCCTCCGAAACATAGGTCGACTTTCAGCGGACTACACGGATTAATATTCCAGAAGACAGGACTTTTCGTAACCACCATTTCGAGAACCTCAAATTCTACACGTGATTATTGTGTTGTACTGTGGTTCATGTTTCCTTGCTCCCACATTCAAGTATCAGATTTTCATGCTGAATTTAGTGTATTTTGAAATACTGATGGTGTAAGTTAACCCTATCAGTTTCGTGACACCTTATTTTGTGGTAGCCATTCTGACTTCCCCACAAAATTATGTTTCACAATTAGTTTTTAAGAGTTGTCCACTGATAACTCCGCGGGTGAAACGAGTCATGTGTTCCACACTTTTCGGTCATCCATACATATCTCATTTCATGGCCAAATGAGTGTGTTCGTAATGGAGATATGTATGGAGAACTGTTTGGAACATCTAAACTTTGGCGGTGAATTGAGCATGTCATGCCACGAAAGCTAGTTGTGTTTACCCTACTCCATCCTGTGTTGTGTCGCGTTCCTGCAAGCAATACCACGTTCTTGTTTGTGCCCACCTGCCGCCAGGACTGTGGCGCATCCTGCAGGAACGGCGAAAGCCAAATTCAAGTCGCCCCGCTCCTCAATGAATGCGACGGCGCCCATCACCAGCGCCGAGATGCCACACACCACCTGCAGAACTCGTAGCCTTAGCACCAAGGCAAATGGGTACACTCCGGTACCTGAGCTACCGGTCGGGTAGCCGTCACTTGTCCTGTCCGTCACCGTGTTTTCGGTAGAAAGGGGGCACACAGACTCCTTCCTGAAGCTCATGTCGCTGCGAACAGATATTAGAACTCGTGAGAGAACTGAGAGTTACATACGAAATTTTGGCGAAAAACCTAATGAGAAGAGACTCTTGTCAACTGACTGGTTATGTAGAATTCCGGCATGTAAAATTGTAAATGTAGATGACATGTACTACTAATTTCGACAGCGCTAAATGACAGAACCGTCCTCATGACAGAGAGGGCGCCCCCACATCGACAAGACCGCAGTTGTCTAACGGTAACAAAAATCTGGTTCTTGGTTCCCAGATGGGGCTTGACCCCAAGACGACCAAGACGGACAGGAGACTGACTGTCGGCTGTAGCATGACTTTCAGGCGAATGGTTACATGAGTTCCGAGTCGGGAGAAACCGCTGCCCAGGGCTGGGCAGACACGCCTAGGGATTTGCGACCATAAGGAGCTGTGAGGCGGTCGGTAGTCGGTGAGGGTGTGAACACGGAAACTTAGGATTCTACAGCGTTGGAAGCCGTTACCAGGCAACGATGCAGAAGTGTACGATAAAGAGTGTGAAATAGCGATAGTGGTATATTTAATTGTAAGAGTCAATATATCCAATTACCAATCGGAAAGCCCGGCTGTAATTCATGAAGTGACAAAGCGAAGAGGCTTATGAAACTGTTCAGTTTCTTAGTTTATCTGTCTGTACATAATTTATTATTGGCATTATGTACTTTTTTTTTTTGGCGAATATTATGTACTATTATATTTCAGCGTCCTGTTGTACTGATGTACCTTTATAGTTTTTTTTTCCGTGTATAATGCAATGAATTAATAAAATTAATTCACATTTAATTCATCCAATGATCGTTAAATGTATAAAATGTTACTAAAATTATTAAAACATTAAAATATGTTGTTGTTATGCTGCTGCAAGTTTCGGCCTTACAAGGCCATCTTCAGGTAACACTTGTTTAAGGTTTCTAATTCACTGTACTCTGATCTAAACTTAAGATATATCTTTGATGTTCCTTCATATATTTTTGAATTGGAGGTGTTTCTATGTCATATTAGATATGTTTTGTTTTTTGCGTTGTGCATATCAAGTGTTGCCTTGCGTTCCCTATATAATATCCTTGTATATTTTAATAATTTTACAAACATTTTGTACATTTAAGGACCATTGTATGAATTAAATATGAATTAATGTTATTAATTTGTTGTATTATAGACGGAAAAAGAAAAAGAGCATAAAATTTTGCTTTTTCGCAATTTTTCGTTGAAATTTTAACGGACTTGTGCTTGTGTTTCACACACCTTCAGTTGTTGCAAGTAATCCCGATTGTCTTATTTTCTGTTCGTCTCCATTCAACAAGAAATGGTTTCCTAGCAACGCAATTTCTTCCTCTTCTGGAGAAGTAAGAGGAACAAAGCCGTTGGCGTTTGGTACCATTAAATGCAAGATGAAGTAGGAAACACTGAAGATTAAATAATTTGCCCGTCGTTGTGACGTAGTACAACATTTATCAGGCTCTCTTTCTATCATCTAACAGGCTTTGAACTCTGAAGGAACTGAAAGTGTTTTTGCTCTGTGGTGAAAGGTATATGACTGTGTAGTTACACGAATCTGTTCGGAGTAGAAACTTTGAAACTGCTTAGAATGAGAGGCGAACTTTGTCCCTGTGGTCTCGTTAACTAACGAGAAGTGAAACTTTACTCGTTGCATCCTCGTCATAATAATCAGCGTCTGGCGATGAAAGCGTATCTCTCTGCAACGAAACCTTTAATGACACTGCGCAAGATTATAGTAACAAATTACTCCGATAGTGTCCCATGCTCTGATTGTAGATAGAAATAATTTTGCCAGTAGATGGATCTCTCTGTCGTTAGTTGTCGCCATTTTCAATAAAAACGCTTATTTATAAAAGCTTCATGAAACGTATGTATTTTATATTTCTCTTCAGTATTAGAGGGGGCACGCGGTAGCGTAGTTGGTTGAGGCACTATGCTACAAGCCGGAAGGTCGCGGGTTTAAGTCTCTATGAGGTCATTGAATTTTTTTCAATTGACGTAATCCTTCCGGCGCTGGAGTTAACTCAGCCTCTAACAGAAATGATCACCAGAAATTAATTAAATAATTTTCCTGGGGAGTAAAGCACGGCCGGCGCGTAAGGCTGACAACCTTACTGCCATCTTTGAGCCGATTGTCTAGCTAGAGAATGTGGGACCCTCAACATCTCACAACCCTATGGGCCTTCACGGCCTGTTACAGGGATAGCTTTACTTTTACTTTTTACTTTAGCTATAGATGTTATGATTGTATTTTGATTACGTGGAGCGCGACCCCTAGTGAACTTAATAATATTATACAGTTTTGTGGTCTAATTCTTTTAATTATTTCCACGTAATAGACCACAATTTCCAGAAATAAATTCCACCTAAACTAGAGCATTTTAACACTGTAACGATAACAAGCAAAATTATATACATATTTATGTTTCTCTGGCGCACGCTGTAGCTCAGTTGGTTCCGGGGTTACGCTACAAGCTAGAAGGCCGCGGGTTCCCGTCCCAATGAGGTAGATTTTTATCAATTTAACTAATCCTTCCAGCCGCACTATGCCCATGGTGTCGACTCAGCCTCTAACAGAAATGAGTACCAGGAATGTTCCTGGGGGTAACAGGCGGCCGGCGCATAAGACTGACCAACCTCACTGCACAGCTGTGTGCCGATTGTATAGAAAATGTGGAAGCCTCGGCTTCTCACAAACCTATGGGCCTTCACGGTCTGTTACAGGGATAGCTTCACCTTTCTTTATACTGTAAAGAGAACGCCTTGTGTGGAAATCATGTCTGCCTCTCAGTGACCTTCGAGGAATTTTCTTAAAATTCGATATCAGAAACTTGTGTTAAAGCTGTCTAGCTACTACGATTATGAGCCATATTACATATCATGGTCTTCTCTAAGTACCCCACAAGCCGTATCCCAGATAAGAATTGGAAGACTTCCACGAAATGCTGTCAGGCAGTCCCGGTCTTCAATTTTATTGATTCATGGTAAAGCCAAGTATCTCTAAAGCCATAAATTTACTTTTCCACGTATCTCATAAATGTTTCCTAAGATTCTGTTGAAATTCGATAAGGCTTTCGCTGACTTGAATTTTATTAATCCAGTTTTAAGGAGTATTAATAAACTTGAAAGAAGACAGTTGGAAATTTTGTGTAGTACATTACACAGTGTACGTTTTCCAGTACGTTTAAAGGTTCTGCCACACAGAGCGCTACATACGCGACCTACGCTACGTACGCTATGTTCGCTATACGAACAGAAAAATATCTCCCTTTATTGCCAATGTGACTGGCCACACACTTCCGTACGCTACGTACGCTATGCTCCCTATGTTAGCTGCGTCGCAGAGTGTACACAGCGTTCGTAGCGAACATAGCATAGCGCTCTGTGTGTCCGAACCTTAAATATGCTACAGTTGTGACTGAGATAATGGGCGCCAGCAGGGAAAGGAATCTGGCAAGCCAGACGTCTGTTCACCACCTTGGATTAAAAAGAAAGAACAATTGAAAAGAAGCAAATTTACTTAATACACTAAAAGTTAAAATTACAAAAATATTCTTATATCCTGAAAACTCAAAGGCAGTGATTCACAAACTACAAGTGTGTGCTGGCAGAACAGTAGTGATCTCCGAACCTGACCCAGCGGTAAAATGCCAGTCGTAAAGTAAAGTAACTGCCTCTGAGACGGCAGTTAGAAGCGTAGGAAATTCGTGTGAGTTGGCCGCCAGCCTGCTAGGACGTGAGCCCAGAAGCAGAGGAACGTCCACTGTTGGAAGCCCTTACCAAGCAGTGCAGTGAAGGCCGTGATTGAGAGCACTAATCTGTCTGATAGTGATTTGTAAAGTGTAGTCACGAATTGTGTGTTAGTGCCAATAAGTCCGATCACCAGTCCAAACCCCATCTGTAGTCACACTCCATACACGTGGCAATATCTACAACTTCAGTAAATTAACTGGAATGTTAACCAATAGGGAAATATGCTTACCCAGTATAGTATATATAGTATAGTATGTAGCATGATACATGCCGGTGGATCCAATCGGCTTACATGCAAATTTTCGAGAACTACATAATAAATAATAGGAGCCGGGATAGCTCAGTCGGTATAGCGACAGGCTGTTGGCTGTACGACCGAGGGGTCGGAGTTCGAGTCCAGATAGGGTCAAGAATTTTTACTTCTCCATGTCGTACAGACCGGATCTGGGATCCACTCAACCACTATCCAATGGGTACAAGGGGCTCTTTCCTCGGGAGTAAAGTGGCTGGGGCGTGAAGATGACCACTCCAACTAATACCGAGGTTAAGAAAACGTGGGTCTATACACCCACTCTCCCATACGTCTTCATGGCATAGTGCTTAATTAGTTATGCACTGGAACAAATTTACGTTTACAATATTATATTTAATACGAAGATAATACGAAGAAAATAACAATGTGTTTTTAAATGTTAAATTTTAGACTGGGTTCAGTGTGGCAGCAACGTTAATAGTATACACCTGATGATGGCCGATAGAGGCCGAAACATGTAGTGTAGAAGAGAACAAGATCAAAGACATACAATATATATTGTTTGCACTTGGGACGGAGTTTGTATCATTTATCGTATAAATTTACGTTTACATGATAAATAATTGTAACTAAAAACCGGACCTGAAGATGGCACACATGTGGAGAAACATAGTTAGATAGCAATTTTCGCCTTCTGGGAATAGTGATCTGTTGGTAGGAATATAATAAATGTTATCTGTAGGCCTAAATTCTGATATTCTCTCACGTGTGCGTAGGTCTCAAGTGTTTTCTGCCCTTGAGGTTTTCAGCTTCACTCATATCCAAGCTACATGATATGCCTGGCCGCGCCATAGCTCAAGCGGTTAGTCGCTGGCTTCCCACCGCGGCGGCCCGGGTTCGATCTCGGGGTCTGGTGAAGTGGGATTTGTGGTGGACAAAGTGGCGCTGGGGCAGGTTTTCTCCGAGTACTTCG